AAAGTGCAGACACGCAGCTCAGTGGAACCGAATGGCAGATGCAGAAACCATGGCAAGCACATGAAGTCATCTGATCTTTGACAAAGGGGGTCAAACGCATACACTGGAGGAAAAGTAGCCTCTTTAATAAATGGTGCTGGGGAAACTGGCTTTGCACATGCAGAAAATTGAATCTAGACCCATATCTCTCACCATGTACTAAATTAAAGTCAAAATGGATCAAAAATCTAAATGTTAAAACAGAAACAATCTGTTGGAAGGTAAAATAAGGAAAACTCTGGAAGATGTCAGCATGGACAAGGACTTTCTAAACAGAACCCAAGTACACAAGAAATAGCATGAAGAATCAGCAAATGGGATCATATCAAATTAAAAACTTCTGCACAGCAAAGCAAACAACCAACACAGTGAAAATTCAGTCTACAGAAAGGGAAAAAAAGTTTTGCCAGCTATCCCTCAGATGTAGGACTAGTGTCTAGAACAGATAAAAGACTCAAAAACATTAGACCTCTGCAAAACAAAAGACTCAACCAAAAAATTGGCAACTGAAATGAATAGACATATCTCAGAAGAAGTATAAATAGTTAATAAATGAAAAATATTCAGCACCTCTGGCCATTAGAGAAATGCAAATTAAAGTAACATTGAGGGTCCACCCTACTCGAGAAAGAATGCCTATCATCAAGAAATAAACAAATGCCGGTGAGGCTGTGAGGAAAAGAGAGCTCTTTTATAGTGCTGGGGGAAATGTAAACTAGGACATCCACTGTAGAAATCAGTATGAAAATTCCTCAAAAAACTAAAAGAAGAAATTGCATTCAACCCAGCTATTCTCCTTCTAGGTATCTTCCCAAAAGAGTAAACATTATCTTATGACTGTGATACATGCATACTATATTCATAATAGCTACTTGGAAGCAGCCTGTATATCCATCAGCAGATGAATGGATGAAGTATGATATTTATACACAATTGAATATTACTCTACCAAGGAGAAAGTTAAATTGAGTCATTTTTGGGAAAATGGATGCACCTTCAGATCATAATTTAAATGAAATAAATCAGACACCTGACACAGAAGCGTAAATATCACATTATTTCTCTTACATGAGAAACCCAAAGTATAAATTAAAAGCAAAATAAAAGATAGGTAATAGGAAATAGGGAAATAGATCTTTTGCAAAGAGAAAAGGAACCAAAAGGTGGAGAGAGGACAGGGAAAGGGAATCAAATGAATATATATATATATATCCTACCTCCTGTATACATAAAAATAAAGTTCTCAGTTCTTTTATAGTTGGACAGTATCATACAAAAGAAAAGTTTTATGCCCTCCAAGTACAAATGACACAAAAAGTTTCACTACATAGGGTGAAAAGCCCCAAACCATAAAGAGAAGAACTAATTAATATAGCCCCTTTAAAATTATATGCTCGGGGCTGGGGATTTAGCTCAGCAGCATAAGCACCTGCGTTGCAAGCAGGTGGTCGTGAGTTCAATCCCAGTACCGATAAAAATGAAAAAGACAAAAAAAAATTATATGCTCAACCGACAACATGATATGCAAAGCTGAAAGAAAAGCCACGGGGTGGGGAGGAAAGATACTTGCAATGCAGATAATCTAAAAGGATTTGTACCCTGAATATATAAAGAACTTCACACACATTGATAATAGAAGACTGTAATAGCAGAGTGTGCAAAACATACTAAGGCAGGTCAAAGAAAAATGAAGCAGTTGATGTATTCAATGCATAATAAAACAAAAGTAGAAACTAAAATTACTACAGTTGAAAATATTTTTTCACACTCATCAGTTTTACAGTCAGAGTGTCCTTATTGTGCAAAGTGCCTTGTTAACTTATCTCATGCAGGTAGGAACTGCGGGGTGAGGAGCGCCTGTATGTTACGTCTGATGCTACAGGGTTGTCAAAGAAACAGGACTATGGCAACGCTCATACCACAGAATGAGGAGAGTGAATGCATTGCATGCACTGAGCAGAACCATCTGGTAAAGTCACATTTGTGGTTTGAGTAACGCTGCTCTTAGGAATATGCACTCAAGGGCTCTAGTGCATGTGCTGAGATGTGACACATGTAAAATGTTTATTGCAGCATCACTCATAATGGCAGTAAAAATGGAAACTGTCCAAATGCAAGCCAACTGGTTAACGAATAAATAAATCCTCTCAATACAACACTGTGCGGTAGTTAAAATCAGTGAACTTATATATATATATATATATATATATATATATATATATGTAAATCTCTAAAACAATACTGAATAATAAAGCAAAGTTACAGAATGGCTGTGTTCTACGCCCACCTATTAAAAGATTGGAGGAAATGCAGCACACAGTGCACACACACTGAATATACTTGTCAGAGCTCGGGGCAGCCTTCCTATTATCCTACGTATTTGATAGACCCCCAAGAACCCTAAACACAATATTCAAAAGAGTTACAAAGTCAGAAGAGGGAAGAAAAGAAAGAAAGAGGAAGGAAGGAAGGAAGGAGGTGAGTTCGAATTAGTGGATCGTGTGGGGGGCTCCGCAATATTGGGAGATTTTAGTCCTTAAAAAAAATTAAATTAAAAAGGAAATAAGGCAACACCTAATATGCTGATAACGCTGTTGTCAGGTACATATTCACCTATGCTTTTGTTATATTATCCTTTGTTGTTTCTGTGTTTGAAATCTATTTTTGAGGATATGGACGTGCATTACACAAAATGCTCTCTAGAAAGATGAACCATGGTTTCCTGTACAGGAAGGACAGAAATTCAACAGCACAGTTCCGAGTTAAGAGAAAGATATTTAAGCGACTACTGGGTGAACTGTTGGATATTCAAACCAAGTGGAAGGGATTGCCTATTTAAAGCACTCTGAATCTTTTTAGAAAGGGCCGTGTCCAATAGAAACAGAAAGCAGATTAGTGGCGGCCTGGGGCAGGGGCTGGGGATTGACTCTGAGTGGCCATTAGGGATATTTTTGGATGATGAAAATACTGTAAAACTGGACTGTAGTGATGCTTGCCCAACTCTGTAAATTTATTAAACATCACTGCATTGTACACTTAAAATCGGTGAGCTTTTTGTGTTTGCAGATTTTATCTCAATGCTGTCAAAAGATTGTAAGGGGGTAATAAAGGCCTGGACCAAAGTTCCCAGGATTTGGCCTCATTGCCCGATTTTGGCAGACTGTGCTAGCAAAATATACAAAGTACGGAGAAAGAAGAAACTAGTCGATGGAAATTATTTTTTTAAATTTATGGAGAAATAAATTCATGGGAAATAATATAAGGCTGATGTAGTTCAGTGGTGAACCATGTACTTAACGGGAGTGAGGCTGTAGGCTCAGTCTTCGTCGCTGAAAAACACATTGTGTTAATTCAGAAATGTGTTTTAAATGCAAAACATCGGCCTGGGCAAACCGACATGTCACCTGTCACTTGGGAAAGGAGGTCTTTGGTCCAGCTCTGCTGCTGAGAACCACCGCCCTCAAACCCTTCACAGACCACCAGGAAAGACAGACAGGTATATAATGTGCTCAAAAGCAGTACTGGCCACTATGCTGTGGAAATCACAGTTCTTAACACACCAAGGCTGTTTTGTCAGTGTTACCTTGTCTTCCCAGATACACAGGACGCCTCTGAACTTTTGTCCTGCATTTTGAACATAATTTAGTAATATGTAAACACAACTAAAACACATTGTCATAATGCGCTTGCCTCGTGTGATCTGTCCCTAAATCATCTAAGACTCACTGGTAATTCATCTCTTCTCCCGCCTGCTATTTGTACAGCTCTGATAAAGAATTTAGAGATGTTCATCTTTGCAAAATAAGCAAATCTAGAAATGATCACAACACTACCTCAGACACATTTTTGAAATACACATACGTCTATTTTTCTCTTATTTATTTGTGGCAGAGCCCGGTGCTTACCTGACCTTGAACTACCTCTGCCTTTTTGTTTTGGTTTGTTTTTTTGGCCTTAGGGTTCAATTCCAAAACAGTGTCCAGTTTCCATAGAGAGAGAAAACAGAGAAGTACGGTGACCTGGCTAGGTGCCCCCAAGGAATTCTTTACACCACCTACCCCATCAATAGGACCTGGTCCTTTGGTTTGCAACCAGTCTTTTCTTCAGAGCGAAAGAAGAGATGTCTTTATCACTTTAATTACCATTACAAGAAGGAAAATTATAGAGCTGTAATATGGTCTTTGGGGGAAAGGTCTGCCCCTGTGGAGATTTGGGGAGAATTCCTGAAAGCTGATTGTGAGAAAAGAAATTTAAAACTGATCAGAATGTTTACAACACTTAGATATTTGTAAACAGTACAAAGAATGGCCTCCCCCGTGTTGATTGTATTTGTCTATATAATGCATGTCTAAAATAAGCGTCCAGTTTGGGCCCCTGAAATGAATACACTTCAAAATACATAGACACTCATCTCATTTAAACTTTGCATTCAGCCAATGAGATTTTTATCTGGCAAAGACCTTAACTGAAAAGACTTTTAGTATTTTCTTACTTATTCTCAAGTTCAAGAACAATTCACTTAGTTTTTACTTAAGAATAATCTAATTCTTAAATGTCAGCACTGGTGCTTGTTTTAATCCCAGTTTCACAGATACTTGTCAAAACTACAATTTTAAGCCAATAAAAGTAAACGCGTCTTGGTTCTTTTATCATGAAATCAAATATATGTTTCAGTTGCACAAAGGGGGTTAGGAGGTTTTTTTCTGAACATTTAGCTGCTGTTTCCAAATTAATCCCTTAATTTCTGTCTCAGGAAAGAGACCCCAAGAATCCCCTTGTGTGGTCCTTTCATTCTGTCCCCAGATGACACCTACTGCACTCAGCAGCCTGCTGTGAGCCTGCAATTCCTAACACTTGGTTAAGCCCCAACTAAAGCCGAGAGGAATCGAGGTTGTGTGCATTTGGGAACATTGTCATTTCTGTTTCTTCACTGTGGTCCCAAACATTCTTTCTTTGTTCAGGTAATGGGAAGAGTGCCAACCATTTCCGTTAATAAGACAGAAGGCTGCCACATATACCTCAGTGAAGATGCATTAGACTGTGCAGTTGTGAGTGCCAAGTCATCCGAGATGAATGTACTCATCCCTCAGGAAGGCGACTACGTAAGTACCTTCCAAAAGACTGCCAAGAACTGCGTTTTGAGCCTTCATTATTAACATTCTTAGAGATCGATTAATCAACCACCAGCCTGTGAGCTTTACTGGTCGAATAATTCGAAGGGGGTAGATTAGTTCCTTCCTTCTCCCTGCTCTCCTATTGACTTCCTGACCCCACTCCCTCCTCGATTTGTGATTCTCAAGGCAGTTTACTAATCACCACTTTCACAGGCTTCCTTTTATTAAATAGCTCAGCATGCACCTAGTCCATATTATGTAGGGCTAAAGACTTCCCTTTGCTGTAATGGAAATAAGCAAGAAAGAAGGAGATGTTTTGAGGGAAAAGTGAGAAGGAGGAGAGGGAAGTGTAAGTAGACTGGCTATTTACACTGGCATATTCAAATCAGAGACTGCCCACTGAGCACCAGAATCAGCTGGGGGGCAGATGAATGGGCCAGCTCCGAAAGATGCACCTAGAGGTTGCATTCAGGAGGTTGGGCTGTGTGGCCTGGGAGTCTGGATTGCTCATAGGCATCTCAAGCATTCTGATGCCATCAGTTCTTCAGGTCCTTCTGAGAAATATTAGCGTAAGTGATCTCACCATCAAAGTAGCGTGAATAAAAATCACGCAAATAGTCTCACACATTGAAAAGGAAAAACAATTCTATAACATTTTTTGGATCATCAAGTATGGTGGATTAACTAGTTGTTGTTACTTGGAACTAGAGAACTAAATACAGAGATAATTCTCTCTTACTGCTAGTGAACCAGGAAAGGATAAAAGAAAATGGGGCAGCTGGACATGGTGGTGCACACCTATAATCCCAGTTCTTGGGAGGCTGACACAGAGGATTGCTGCAACTTCAAGGCCAGCCTGTAACACTTAGTGTGACCTTGTTTTTTTAAAAAAAAAAAAAAAATTGTAACTCAATTACAATTGAGCAGACAGACCTTTGGAAGAAGAGCCCAGTCAGCCTGGGGGGCCAGTCACAGGGGCCTGCACAGCAATCCAAACCGGCTGGCAGGTCTCCCTGGCAGCCAACAAGACTGTTGCCATGTATTCCTCTCTCCTCCCGCAGGAAGCTCTTCATCTCTACCCAGCCACATCCCGCACACTGCAGCCTGGACTCCATCATTTCAGCTTGCAACACAAAACTCTGCAAGTGCTGAGTCCCACTTCACCCCTTAGTGCATGGACAGCCTGACCCTGAGCTACAGAAGAGGCCCTCTTGAGTCCTCAGCCTTAAAAATGCCATGGAAGAGCTAAGCCATTAGAGCAGAGCTTCAGAGTAGGGGAGACAAAGCCCTGCCTCTGCAGCTGTTTAAGCAGAAGGCATAGCTTCCAGAGAACTGGATTGGCTAAAGCGAGAAGTGGGGTTTGGTTGAGCGCTCCAGGATGAGTACGCTCAGCTCTCTGGGCGTGTGACCCAGGTACCTGTGGATTTTAAGGCTTTCTGAGCAAGCCCAAAGTGCAAAGTCTCAGATTGAGATCCTTTAGCCTAATAGATGAATATAAGCAAAGCCTGAGCTTTTTGCTGAAAAAATAGTTTTGCGTTAATAGGTAAATGACCTTCTCCTGTTGGTCCCTGGCCCTCTTCTAGCATTTTCCAGGGTGGTGGGGGTGGGAAGGAACACACAGGCCCGGCCATGGGCGTTGTAATGTGAGGATTGATGGGAAGCATAGGTCTTCCTGAACAAAGTCAGCCTCCCAGAGAAGATCCGTCATCAGATTACTACCTCCTCACTGCCCAAGAGTGTGGAACAGCTGTCATACATTCCAGTCCAAGGCAGCCTTCTCTCTCAAGCATTCTTCCCTGGGTCAATGCCTGAGAATAAACACTCAGCTTTGTTTTCTCACCAAGGAAAGCCCCAGAAATGATATTAGGTAAACACACACGTGCACGGATGCACACACACACACACACACACACACACACACACGGCGTGCATGTGCGCTTTAGGGTATTAATATTGTAGCTTCTTTAAGATTTTTCCATTGCTGATTTCACTCAGGGAGAATTCATTATTCACTGCAGCAGAATAGATCAATCACTTCTTCCCAAAGACACTGTCGGATACTGCATTCAGGAAGATCAGTCCTCCTGGGTGCGTTCCAGGGAAGCATCCCATCTCATGAGCAGCGGCATCACTTACTACACGTGGCATCTTGGAGCACACAGCAGGGCAAAAAGGGCAGGGAGGCTGCAGACCCAGGGCCGAGACGCTGCGCCCCAAATGCCTGGAGAATGACAGTCTTTCCAGGGAAAGGCGAGCCCAGTCTCCCGCTAGTTTGGCTATTCCATTTTCCTTTGTGTGTTTGTATGTGTGGAAAGTATACAGGTGGTGTGGGCCATGTCATTTTTTATTGGGAAGTGGCAGAGTGAGAGGAAACAAATGTTTTTACAACCCCAAGCACATTTTTGCAGTTCCTCACAGATTACTCTTGGTTAAAGCGTTTGTGCCCCCCACAGGACTGCTGACCAGCTGCCCCAACACTGCCTGACACTGTGTTGGGGATGGAGACCCCATTCCCTTCCCAGGTCTGCTGCATCAGAATCTGTGTGTGATAATAAGATCTGCAGTTAATTGGCATTCACATTCAAGTTTGAGGGGAAGCCGGGGCTAAGACAGACTGCTTTGGCATGGATTCAGGCAGCGGTTTGACGTGCAGGCATCTGCTTCCTGTGGACTGCATCTCAGTAACTCCAGACTCCTGGGCTTGCTGGAGAGCAGCCGAGGGCATGGATGTCCAGGGCCTCGAAGAATGCCCATTCTCAGGAAATGCTAGCATTAATGATGATCCTGGCAGGTACAGGCCCAGCAGACCTGTGACATATGCAAATCCCACATGACAAAGACTTCTCCATGATGCAGATTCTGGTTGGATCAGATTGCTGTGCCCACCGTGTGGCACCACCATGTTGGCAACACTTTTTTATAAAGACCTCTGTTCTTCTTGCCTTTATTTCAGAGAGAATTTCCTGTTCCTGAACAGTTCAAGACAACATGGGATGGATCCAAGTTGATCACTGAGCCTGCAGAAATTATGGCCTAAGCTCCAGACAGGACCGAAGACCATCACCTGAGTGTCTGCAATCAAAGGAAAGCAAGCAGCATTAAAGAGCTAGACTAGAGGACCTGCTTTACTTTAAGCCTATGACAACTCTGTGCTGTAGAAACAGTCATTTCTGGCACACCTCCATGGGCATTTTGAAATATTTAACATTTCTTCATGATCCACCTTTGTGTGCGATTTTAGTTCAACATGATAATTTGCGTGCGCTACAGATTTAAAGGGAAAAACATTCTGTTTCCCTCATGTCACTAACACAGTAACATCTAAGTAAAAGTACTGCATGATCTGCTTGTACACTTACATTTAACTGCTAGCTGAAAAACAAAGCCTTTGAGAATCTATGTACATTTTTACTTTTTAGACAATTTCAATATGAAATTGCCCTGGGAAAATGTACTTTTTTCTTCTACATGTTCATTTTATCAGCGTGGATACAACTGTCAGCATGAACACATATTTCAGTCACGCTTTTAGAAACATAAATAAAAAAATTCTACATAAGGACAAATTCCAATTTCTTGGTCCTTGGAAGGCATAGTTAGTTACTAAAGAACAAACGTACATTCTGATTGTTCATCTTATGGTTGCTTTATTCTAATTGTTCATCTTAAATATTTTTCCACCATTTCACCTAAAAACTCATAGATAATTTTTGCATATTTTTATGCCAGAAGATAGATGGATGGAAGCAATTTTTTTTGCCACATTATACCTCACAAGTCAACTCTAAGAACAACTTAATTTTTGTTTTCCAATTCTGAACATGTTAAATACGCGATGCCTTGTATATGATGTCTTTAATGTTTTATTATAATTTCTTTTCCTCTTGCCAGACTTGCTAGTTAGTCTCAAACACAGATATGAAAAAGCCATAGATGCATTACTTCTTCTAAAACTTAAAGAACTCTTTGCTGGTTTGGCTTGCTGCTCCTATTTTATGATTGTGACAGTCCATGCTTTTTCGATATGAGTAATTATGCTATTCCTTTGTGTCTTTTCAGTACATAGGGCTGAAAACTCTGTGACTTCTTGAGTCACACGTGAAGACGTGCATAGAATGCTTGCAGAACCAATCCAAGCATATATATTGTGCCTATGACAGCATCTGGAATAATTTCCATTTTTAAATAACTTCTATATCTATACAGTATTCAGATTAATAATGCTCACGTACCAAGGTTTTGCTATAAAAGTTTTGTCTGTATGAATAACCTTGTGGCTTTAGTAAATAATCTTTTTTGAACTGTAAACTTATTCTGAAATAAAGTAAAATTCTAATTTAAATATTGTGATGAATGCTGGGTGTTAAAATTGTTTTCTTTTTTTTTTTTTTTTTTTTTTTTTTTGCAATTTCATTTGCCCCTTGCTCATATAGCAGGTTTAGAAAAAGTAGCTGAGTCCTACTGGTTGAAATTAAAGAATTTTTGCAGAATACTATCAGCTTACCTGAAGAATAGCTTCTCCAGGTGTCACATAAAACAGTTTGCAGCCGGGTGACTATCAGAAAGCTTTCCACTGAGAAAAACCCCGTCAGAGCTTTATTAATGTATAGATGCCAGAAAATAAATGATTTTAAAAACATAACATTACATGCTATGTATTATAATAACTTACATGTATAAATAGTATCTGAAGGAAAAATTAAATGAGAAGATATGATTCAAAGGGATATATTACATATCCGTCGTATAACACTGTTTATATTGAGAAATAAGTTCACTCAAAATTCTTAGCATCTGCCAATTGATGTTAGACTTGACTTTAGCCTTTCAAATTTCTTCACCATAAATATTGAAAATCTAGGCTTAAATTCAATCATTGGCCAGCTCTGTATACCTCAAGTTACCTCAGCCCTGTGTACCTCAAGAAGGCTGAACAGTCTCAAAAATGAGTCACATTTTTAGGTTAAATTTGTTGAAAAAAAAAAAACTTTAACAATGTATCTGTAACTATTGAAGACAATGCTGAATTTCCAACATGCTTTACTCCTTGTGCCTAATATCACCGGTGCTGTGACCTAATAAGTACCATCAAGGGGCTGGAAACTATTACTACTTAGAAGAATTGCTTGTTGCATATATTCACAAAAAGTCTCAGTGAAAATCAGTGTCCAAAAATCAAGTGCCAAGGGTGTCCTATCTTCATAGTGTTACAGGATAAAAATGAGAACCCAAAAGATATGTCTTTGTTGCCTTGAAAATCCTCTGCTTGATCAACATCCCTCCTTAGATAATCTATTCTTGATACTCCTCCTTTTGCGGCAAGATATCTTGAAGTCAGCAGTCAGTTCTAACCACATCTCCTTATCCATGGAACAGACAGAAAGGACACAGAGTTTTACTTACTGATTCCTTTGTTCAATGCAGAGCACTGGCTTAGCATGTGTGAGGCACTGGCTTCCATCCCTAGCACCACCAAAGGGCGGACTGAAGGAATTGTGTTCATTCACTGCAAATGTCTCCAACTTCTGAGAATCCAGAAGCGTGTACTTATGGAATCCTTCATTTTAAAGATGAGAAAGCTGTGCACCGTGCCCACCTATAATCCCAGCACTCATGAGGCTGAGACAGGAAGATCACTGGGAGATTCACACCAGCCTGGAATCATGTGACTTCAAGATCAGCAACATAGTCTCAAAAAAAAAAAGAAAATAAATCTGAGATCCAGCGGCATTAATAACTTACATAAGGAGAAGCAACAGGTTAGAAGCAAAGACTGAAACACGTACACATACATACACACACAACTTTTTATAACTACTGAACTTGACTTCTCATCACATTTGTGGAAGTTCCAAAGGTCATCAGATCCAATGGACATTCGTGCCATTCCTCATCCACGGCAGTGCTTTCCTTAGTGAGCTCCCTTTGACTTTGTGGTGGACAATACAGTTGGATCCTTTCCCCTCTACCATCTATGTTTTGTCTCAAGTGCTCACTCATCTCCCATAACCTCATCCTCTCTGTAGATGCCTCCCCAATCCACACCCCCAACTGAATCCCTAGTCTCAGTGTCTACAAAGCATTTTTTCCTGCCTACCCCAACTTCATTTATCTCGGCCACCTTCAGTGCACATAATCCGTTTTCACCAAGGCCCTGTCTTAGTTACTTCTTACTCATCATTGAGACAAAATACCTGATGCCCAAAGTTGGGAGAGGAAAGGTTTATTTCTTACAGTTTTTGGAGGTTTCAGTCCATACTCAGTTGGCTCCAAGGCAAGGTGGCATGGCAGGGCCGCAGTTCATGCAACTGCAAACAGCAAGCCAGAAACCAGCAAGAGAGAGAGATACACTTTCTTCCTGCCATTACTTTGAATGCTGGCTCCTAGGTGGGTGTAGCACTGACACCATCAATCCAAGCGCTAGACAATGAACCAATCACAAATGCATAAAATGCATGAGGCCTGGGGCCACCAAAATAAACCATGACATTCCACCCCTGGCTCCCAGGACTCATGTACATCCTTTATACAAAAGACATTTAGTCCATCTCCAAGAGTTGCCAAAGTCCTAACAGTTTCAGCATTGCTGAAAAGTCCAAGTCCCAAGTCTCCTCCAAGATCTATGGCAAACTCTTAACTGTAACCCCTTACACAAATAAAACAAGGTTAAACATTTCTAAAATGTAAAGGCACAAGGTAACATTACCATTCCAAAAGTTACAAACGGGAATATAAAGCATTGGAAACAAAGCAAGTCCAACATCCAGCAGAGCGAACATTAAGTCCTAGAGTTTCATGCTCAGCATCTGAAGCAATCTGGTTGCAAGCTCCAAAAGGCTTGGGGGATTCCACCCCCAGGCACTTTCAGGGATTTCAGTTCCCACAGCTTCTCTCTTAAACCCTCTCTGCTTGCTTTTTGCAGCTTTCCTTGGATGATCCACGTTCCTGTCTTTTCCAAATTTCTGGGGTCTCCACTGCACCTTTGGCTTCACCCTTACATCTTTACAAATTGCCCTCTCAGGGCCACACTCCTTGACCTCCCAGGCCCTTTGCAATTGAGGTGGAAGCCTTCTTACCCTCAGAATTTATGCATTTTCCTTGCACCTAAAATCAACACCATGTGGGTGCCACCAAGGTCTGCTGCCAGCTGGAGCAGCAGCCAGGTTTTTTTCTCTCTTAGCTGTAGGGGTCAGTTGCCTGGATTGCTGGGCTGTGTTTACCTGATTGTGAGGAAAAGCTTCTATACGTTGCCGTTGCCGCCATCCTGGAACCTCACGTGCCCTCGATCGCCATTCTGGAGCATTGTGCTCTGTAGCTTTCTCCTCTGAGCAAATTCTTTCACTTTTGCTATTTTGAGGCTGCAAAGGATGGAGACCTGATGCTTCCTGGGAGGCCCTGGGGCCATCTTTCTTATCTCTCTGTTTCTCCTCAACAAACAAAGTCTCAACTCTGTCTTTACAATCCACAGCTTTCCTGAGGTTTTCCTTCTGGCAAAACTCACAGAGTTGTCCTGCTGGGCAAATTATCCTGCTGGTCTCTTGCTCTTGATTTGCCACATAAAGCTAGCTAAAATCTCCCAACAATAGCCATGCCACAGACATCATTCGACTGTCTTGATATTTCCTTTGCCAGATTAATCAGCCCATTGCCCTTTGTCTCAGTCTCAGGCAAAGTCTCTGGGCATGAGCAAAATGCAGACAAACTTTCTGCCAAGTCATAACACACATCATGGGGAATCCAATAGCCAATGCAGTCCTTCTTCCCAGCAGAAACCTCCCAAGCCTGGTCTTTACCACGAAGCTTTCTATCAGCCTGCTGGTCTCCTGAGCTCTGACCAGTATCTCCTCTGCAGAACAGCCTAAACTGTCCAGCTCTTTGCATCCAGGTGACATGTCTGAACCTTTCCAAACTCTGTGCACAAGCCATTTCCAAAGCCTCTCAAAAACACGGTGAGGTGTAGTCATATCAAATGACCCCACTCCTCAGTACTAAATTCTGTCTTAGTTACTTTTTACTCATTGCTGAGACAAAATGCCTGATGCCCAAAATTGGGAAAGGAAAAGTTTATTTCTTACAATTTTTGGAGGTTTCACTCTATACTCAGTTGGCTCCATGGAGGGTGGCATGGCGCAGTTCCTGGCAGCTGCAAACAGCAAGGCAGAAACCAGGAAGAGAGAGAGACACACACCTTCTTCTAGCCATTACATTGTATGCTGGCTCCACCCCTAGGTGGGTGTAGCACTGACACCATCAATCCAAGCTCTAGACAATGAACTAATCACAAATGCACAATGCAAACGCATGAGGTCTGGGGGCCACCAACATAAACCATGACAGCCCCCTTAGACTTTTCATCATAGGTTATAAAGTAACGAGTTTGCTGTAACAGGAAATCCTGAAGGAGAACCAGTACAGGGGGGAACATGATTCAGCCTGGAACATGTGTGATTTAGGGTATCTTTGTGATGTTTAACTGCAAATGGAGAATATGGGTCTGGACTCCTTGTCTCTCCTAGGCCAAATCCCTGGAAATCATTGCATGAGTTTAATACCCCAAAACTGAATTTCATTAAACACGTTCATCTCCAAAGAATTTTTCTTAAACCATTGGCACCTTCTGTGCCACTTCAGATACAGATGCAATTTTGAGGGCTTTAATTGCTTCCATGGAGACAAACTGATTTTCTAGTGTTACGGATTTCTTGTGTACATTTCAATTTCTCTGGATGTGGCTCAGTTATATCTACAACTGGAATGTAAACCAGCTTAAATCACCCCATGAGACCTCGGCCAGATTTCTCCAAAGGGTTTTTGTTCCTCTATTGTTTGCTTAGTAACTTGGCTCAGAACATGCAAGTAATGTTTGCCTCTCAGAGAATTTTTGTTTAGGTTTCTCTCCAATACAAAGTATTATTTTTAGCTAAAGACAATTTGTGCCTAAAACTACAACATTGAGTATTTTAGTTCTAATCCACTTTATTGCAATAATTTGCTTTTTAGGACCATCAGTAGTCAAAAATGTGACACCCCTTAATGACATGAAAGACAAAATGAAAGAAACATATCACTTACTAAACAATAATGCCAGTTGTTCAATTCCATTCTCCAATATCATGAAGGTTTCTTTCTTTTAAAAATCCATACCCAGGTGTGGCGGTATACACCTGTAATCCTAGCACCAAGAAGCTAAATCAGAAGGATCATCAGGAGTTCTGGGTCAGCCTGAGCTACATCATGAGTTCAAGGCCAACCTGAACCGCATAGCAAAATCTTATCTCTAATTAAATAAATAAATACAAGTTAGCCAGGCCTGGTGATGCCGACCTGTAATCCTAATATTCT